GTCCTCAACTCATCCGGTCAAATAGTTTAAAATAAATAAAATGTAGAGATGGTGATTTGTCTTGGTTTTGTTTCCAAATACTTTAGATCAATACAAACCCCGTCTGAAAAACTAGGATGGTCATCACTTAATCCTGAATCTGGCCGACTCCAGAACATCCAGTGGTGATGTTCACTCAGGGGACATTTTAGTTTTGAGCACACACAGGTAAGAACATTTTAGCTCACATTTTGGTGATGATCATATGAAAGGCTTGATGTACATTTGATTAATCACAGACAATGATCTGGACCTTCATGCAAAATCAACAGATAATATGCTTGTAGAAGACATTCGGTGTAATTAAGCATCTCAGAGTGTGGACGTTTGGCTGTTTTTTTAATGCTCCAACATCTGTTTCAGCTCACAGAGCGAGGACGTTTCCGGCAGCAACAGCTGCACATGATGAGACAACAGAAATGAAGTGTGGCGTGTCTTGCGTTAACCTGCTCTACAGAGGGAGCACACTGACATCAAGTGGTCAGACAAAATCATCAACAGGCTGCAGCAGACGTCTCACAAAACCCACAAAAGCACCCAGGTGGTTGGTTTAGTTCATGCTCCATATGCTAAAGAACAGCCTGATTAGATAAATATTCTACTTCTGACAGCTAAACACTCATTTAAAATTACAAAGATGCCACATCATAAACAGTAAGACAAACAGACTTCTCTGAGGACAGACGACAAGAAAAAAGAAACACCAGAGCCAAGCGGTTCAGACGAGGATGAGCGCCGGAACAGCTGGGCTGGTAACCAGGCAACAACATCTACTCCATTAGTGGCAGCAACCTCTTAATACACAACATAAACAGAAAACTGGAACTGCAGATCACTGCTGTCCTGATACATCATCTGGTACCAAATACTCACATCGTTCATCTTATGATGGAGGAACAAAATGTACTGCTCCTGCTCTGCAGTTGGGTCGTCTTGTTTTTGACTTGATTTGATTAAATCTGAGGTCTTTTACTGAATATTAGCTGATCTTTACAATTCTCCTGTTGCCAGGTGAACAAACCGTGCTTGATTAGCCTTTTTTTGCTTTGAAAAACCCATCAACTACAGACACGTTGTCTATGATCAACTAAGTATTTCTAATGAAAGAAAGATCACAGAAGCATTTGCTGTGTGTGGACTGTTGACTTGTGGTGAGGGCAGATAGAGGCAATCCAAAACTAATCTACACCACCACCGTGAGGTTTTGTTCTTGATGTGAAATTAATCTGCAACATTAGTTTTTATCTGACCAACGTGACAATCGCTCACAGAAGAACGTGACTGTAGTTTAAAACCCAGCAGAGGAGGTGACACACATTCCTTAAAAGGGTACGTTTGTCGTTTCGCTTACATTACTAATTATAAATATATATCCCTCCGCAACCGAACCCCGGGATGCAACAAGGCTACGTGTTGCTGCGGCTGATATTAATGATAATAATTAATGGTGAAATGATAAACTGACGAGGCTTTTATAAGAATGTGCGACTCGCTAAAAGTTTTTAGAGCTGCTTTAAGGTGGTCTCATCTTATTTGGACTCATGGGTGTATTTGGGGGGGGGACATGCCCCCCCCACCCCCCCTGCCCCCACCACCACCGCCACCACCACCACCACCACACACACACACACACACACACACACACACACACACACACACACACACACACACTTTTTCCAAAGTCACATTTTGTCCCCTGCACTTTTTACCGTCCAAAAACAATATTATGTTACATTAAACAGGCTGGTTGAGCACTAGGACCAAGAGTTCAGCTAGAATCTGATGTAAATTAGCTCCACTGATCAGATATTTAAAAAATAAGTGTAAAATGGTGACAATGAGTAGGAATGAAAATGACTAACAAGGTGAAAAACAGAGTTGAATTGAAAGTATTAGTTTTTTGTTTTACTGCCACCTGTGCACTTCACAGTTCTGCATTCCTGACATTGCATAAAAGAGCCTCTAGACTGTAGTATTACACATCATTTTCTATACTTACTGTAAAGACACCGCACAGACCCCCACCCCCCCATTCCTCATGCCCCCACTTTTAAAGTCAAAACTACACCCATGTTTGAACTAGCGGTTTGCTCATCCACCCTGAAACGCGTGAACTTCTTCTAAAAGACAGAAGCGATTCACAAAAGGAAAGATCAACATTTTACAGAAAACCCTAAATTTGCTGACAAAAGCCTTAAATAAGAGCTGATGGTTAGCTAGCTGCTGCTAGCAGCGGGATCCTGACGTGATTCCTCCTCAGCTGACGGTTCTGACGTCGTGATATGGAAACAGAGTTGTTGTGTATGGCTCTAGTGGTGGAGCGCTCTCTGTCTCACATATACATGGTAGGTTTTATGGCGGACCCCTTTCCACCCAAACTAAAACAAAAGGACCCAGACAGAAACAAAGACAACTCCTGAGAGGCGAGAGGAAGAAGAGTGAGAGAAAATGAGCTGAAGAAGACAGAAAGAGGGAACGTTCGAGCTCCAAATCTTTGCTATTTGAAACCCTGTCATTACAGCTGGACTCCCAGCTGACTTTCACGAGCATTTTATGTATAATTCAGAGCAATGTGCAGAGATAAAACCTCCAATAAAGGCCGCGCTCTCTAAGCTCTTCACAGCACATTACGGTTTATTCATCAAATTAGTTTAAGTTGGTCTGGGCTCCCCTGAGCCGCCTTTAAAAGGTTCAGATGAAAGGAAGACATTCATTTTGCCACTAATCAGTTAAATGGCAGCTCCAAGTGTCAGCGCTGCACTCCTTATCCACAAAAAAGAAAGGAAATAAAGCATCTCTCCCCTTCATGTCTGCGACACACATTGTCCCTGTCTGCTCCCCGCACCGATCCATCACACATCTTTCTGCACCCAGAAATGTTTCTTCCCAACTGTGAAAACACAAAATTCAATCGGATACAAAACTCCAATATCCAGGTCAGAAATGCGACGAGGCAAAGAGGAATTGTTAATACTGAGATGGGATTCCTCTCCGGGAATTCAGCTTTTGTGAAACAAATGAGTGGATAATTAGAGCTAATACTTGTAATTCTCTGAGCGGAGTTTCAGGTTTTTAATTACCGACTAAATCCTCTAAATGAGCCGTTTCAGTAGGTCAGCCTGATTATGACTTCCAGCAAAACCCTCCTGAAGGTTCCGAGTTAAACCGGCAGCTCGGATGTTATTGGTGGACACGGGGGGACTTACTTGAGCAGGGAGCGCTTTGGGAAGCTGAAGGAGCCCTGAGAGATGCGGTCCACATAGTTCAGCTGGATCCTCTGGATCTGCTCACAGTACAGCAAGATGAAGTCATACTTGAAGACCAGAAGGCTGTTTTCTGTGAGGAGAACGAGGCGTTCCTTTTCATTGTTCCAGTGGTCGACTCTGAAAAGGCCAAAGATAGGACTTTACACTCAATGAATGCTGCATTATGTTTAAAAGATAAAATAAAATAAAACTTTCAGGAATAAGAACCTGTGGATTTTTATCTGTTGACAGGCACAACAAGTCTTTAAACGATCTCCAAAAACAAAACTAACAAAAAGAAATCGATCCACACATTCATTCTCCACCACTTTTCCAGGGCTGGATGATGGAGGATAGATAACAGGTCTGAGTGAGTGAACCCCAGACGTCCCTCCTTTTGTCTGATCCAAAGGTGTCCCCAGACCAGAGAGGGGTATAATCCCTCCGACAGGTTCTGGGTCCCAACCAGATTCCTGAAGCACCTTAACAGAACACCAGCTCTACTCTACTGGGGCTCCTCACCTCATCTCTTAGGCTGATCTGGGACTTTGTTCCAGCATGGCCCGTCTACAGATGAACATTGCCTTCTGGCTCATTCCTGAAGGTAAAGCCCTGATCAGTTGGTCCACCTATTGCTTCATCCTCCCGTCACTTATGGAAAAGACAACTAAATTCCAGCATTCTGGAAGAGCCGACTCTCATCCCGACTGTGGATCACCCCGTTTGATGCTGAAACTGATGGAACAGTGAGTATCCTCATGACCTTGGTGTCGGCACCTGGTAGAGTCCCCCATGACACTGCCACCAGTGGAAGAGTCAAAATAAAAGTAATCTGTACACCTAAACCCAGGTCTAAGCGATCCTGGTCCTCGAGTGCCACAGCATGTTTTACTTGAAGACAAGACAAGAGTTCTGATGAGAATTAAAAAGAGAGATCATATCTCTCCTGTCTTGGCTTCCCTACATTGGCTACCTGTTAAATTCAGAATAGATTTTAAGATCCTTCTTCTCACATATAAAGCTCTTAATAATCAAGCTCCATCATACATCAGTGATCTGATTGTTCCATATGTTCCTAACCGAGCACTTCGCTCTCAGACTGCAGGTTTACTGGTGGTTCCCAGAATATCTAAAATTAGGATGGGAGGCAGATCTTTTAGTTATCAGGCTCCTCTCCTGTGGAACCAGCTCCCAGCTTTAGTCCGTGAGGCAGACACTTTGTCTACATTTAAGAATAGGCTTAAAACATTTTTATTTGATAGGGCTTATAGTTAAATTCTGATGTTAGCCTAAATCTGGACAAGTGGGGGAGTAGAGGGAGGTGGAGTGTACAGTCGGTAAAGACAGCTCTCCCTTGCCCTGCCTCCAACATGCCTCCATCTAAAAGGCTAGGTTATCCAGAGTTATCTCTGTAGTTATGCTGCTATAGGCTTAGACTGCTGGAGGATACACTGACCACTTTCCACACTCTACTGCTTTATTCTACTATCTGCTCTTTAACTGTATTATTTCCTGCTATTTCAGCTGTTAACTTTATTTTCTCTCTAAGTGTTTTTCTCCCCAGAAGAAGCTACAACGACGTTCTGCTGAGCTGTGGTGGCCTCATGGAGGGGGCCATCGTCTAGCACACTGCTGCTAACCACTTAAACATTCTCCCTCTCCTGATAATAACTTTTTGCTTTCCTTGACGTTGGATGTGCTACTACTAGTTTACCAGTTTAATTATAGATTCACTAGGATAAATACAATAAAGTTTATCTCTCACCAAATAGAATATTTACTACGCAATCACAATGTAACCATAGAAACATTGCTTTGTGTGTGTGTGTGTGTGTGTGTGTGTGTGTGTGTGTGTGTGCGTGCGTGCGTGCGTGCTCTGTCTTCTCCATCCCCAGTGAGTCGTGGAGGATGGCTGCTTATACTGAGCGAGGATCCTCTGGAGGTTTCTTCCTGTTAAAAGGGAGTTTTCCTCTCCACTGTCACTGCATGCTTGCTTAGTATGAGGATTGATGCAATTTGCTGGGTTCCTTCTAAAGGAAACATTATTTCTGATTGGCTTAATGAACTGACCTGAATTGGAATGTTTATTATGTGAAGTGCCTTGAGACGACTCTTGTCATGATTTGGCGCTTTATAAATAAACTTGAATTGAATTGAACTTGTTTCCCTGTTCCAAGTACACACCTGTTCCAACACACCTGATTTTAATCAGTATGTGATTAAAAAGCTTCTGCAGAGCTTGAAAACCTGGTGAACAGGTGGTTAAACCATTAAAATAGGTAAACTACTAAAACATGCTGGACAGCATCACCCCTGCTGTTGTCTGTGGAAGTCGACAGTAAACTGGTTAAACTCAGACGACAGAGGGGGATTGTGGTGAGGTGTGGAGTTGGGCAGCTAGAATAAATCCACTCAGAGATGACACAGTGAACATTTATGAGGCAGTTAAGACTGTGAAACCAGATGTTGATTAAATCCCAAGAAGCTCTTTGCTTTTCAGACTAATCAAGCCAAGAGGACAGCAGTTATCAGACCTGAAGAGACAATCAGACAGCTTTACCTCTACGCTCTCTATGAAGCACATTCAAGGGGTTTCATTACTGGTCTTCATACTAAACAACTGAATGTGGACGATTAAAACAAAACTATAACAGAGTAAAAACTGGAAACTAATACAAATTGAAATTAAAATAAAGAAAATAAGTTACTAAACAGTAGGAAATGTATAAAGTATTATTAAATGTTGTCATAATTTGGTGTACTCATACACTCTGTAGCCACTTTGCTTGTACCGGGTTGGACCCCCTTTTGCCTTCAGAGCTGCCTTAGTCCTTCGTGGCATAGATTCAACAAGGTTCTGGAAACATTCCTATAGGGATGCACAATTTATCGGTATCGGCCGATGTTAGTCATTTTTTAACATATCGGTATCGGTCCAATAAAACTGGGCCAATATTAACAACCCATATTTTTTCCATCTTGTTTCCGTTTGTTCGTCTATTTCAGAGGGTGAGGGGGTGAAGTATATGCCTAATAAAAATGAAAATAGGTATTAGGGATACATTTAAATGCAAATATTATCATTTCTTGAATTGCACAATGAGGTGTTTAAAGTCACTTTTGGATTTGTTGTGTCCTTTTTTATCTTTGCACTCATTTCATTAACAAATGTAAGCATTTATCAGGAGTGATTTTGCACCATGAACAAGCCATTTGTGATTTATGTTAGTTAAATGTCGAATAACAGATTAGTAGAAGACACAATCGGGTTCAATGTGAAGGAATAATTAAAGAAATTTGTATGAAAAAAAACATGGAAGGAAGGTAAGGATGTTTTCTGTTTTTACAGACGTAAATCCAGAGAATTTGTCTTATTTCAATTATCTGTGTTTAACTTTGAGCTTCAATTTGCAGCGTGAGAACAAAGTAATGACTAGTAAAACTAGTGAATGTGTTTTGAGAATCATGTTAGAACTGATTGGTTGTTCAAATCAGAGACTGATTTGGTCACATATTTAACTGTGTGTATTTCAAGTGGTCAATAATAAAATAACAAGGATGTTATTTAAAAAAGTAAAACAAGACAACCAAACAAAACCAAAGAGCAGAACGGAAGCTTTGCTAAATAAGCTGATCGAGGATTTAAAAATATAAAGGCAATTCTCTTTGATGCAATCAAGATTTGGTGAGATGTTTAAACGAGAAGCTGCACAATTATGTAGAACGAGTCCGATGTCGGGTTAAACTGCCCTTCTCATCAGCACAATTTTGACTGAGACTGGCGCCTTCATGAGATAAACTCTTATCGTTATCGCTATTCTGAAATGTGTTTCTGTGTAAAAGTTGAACTTCATAAACTTCTTGTATGAAGTTTGATTAGAGAAACGACACATGCATCCTACAGGACCGATAAGCTAACCGCTAGTCTGATCACTGTTTGTCTTCACCTCCAAGGTTAGTCCAGCTGCCGATGCTCCAGATACAACTAAATATGGGAGGCCTAAGTCACACCCATCTACTTCCAGGTCATGGATTCCAGGGCTTATTTTCAACAGGTGGCAAAAGTGATTTTGGTTTTTGTGTGAACAGACGAAGTGGGCTACCAATGTCCGTCCCACTAATTTAATGTCATTGAATCAGACATCATGAAGAGAGGAAAAATAGGAGCTTAGCGTATTTCACATCCTTCTTCCAGGATGAGAGCAAGTGTTATTAAATATGGAGAAAACCTCTATGAAACTGGCCATGTGGAAGGTGGCAGCTACGCCGGGGGAGAGACTCAGCTGTGGCATCATATATGAGACTCGTGATTTGTAGTCATTATACAGGTGCTGGCCAGTAAATTAGAATATCATCAAAAGGTTGAAAATATTTCAGTAATTCCATTCAAAACGTGAAACTTGTACATTATATTCATGCAATGCACACAGACCAATGTATTTCCAATGTTCATTACATTTAAATTTGATATTTATAGGTGACAACCAATGAAAACATCAAATCTGGTATCTCAGAAAATTAGAATATTCTAAAGGCCAATGAAAAAATGTTTGTTTCTCTAATGTTGGCCAACTGAAAAGAATGAATATGAAAAGAATGTGCATGTATAGCGCTCAATACTTAGTCGGGGCTCCTTTTGCCTCAATAACTGCAGTAATGCGGCGTGGCATGGACTCGATCAGTCTGTGGCACTGCTCAGGTGTTATGAGAGCCCAGGTTGCTCTGATAGTCGTCTTCAGCTCCTCTGCATTGTTGGGTCTAGCGTATTGCATCCTCCGCTTCACAATACCCCATAGATTTTCTATGGGGTTAAGGTCAGGCGAGTTTGCTGGCCAATCAAGGACAGGGATACCATGGTCCTTGAACCAGGTGCTGGTGGTTTTGGCACTGTGTGCAGGTGCCAAGTCCTGTTGAAAGGTGAAGTCTGCATCCCCATAAAGTTGGTCAGCAGCAGGAAGCATGAAGTGCTCTAAAACTTCCTGGTAGACGGCTGCATTGACCCTGGACCTCAGGAAACAGAGTGGGCCAACACCGGCAGATGACATGGCACCCCACACCATCACTGACGGTGGAAACTTTACACTGGACCTCATGCAACGTGGATTCTGTGCTTCTCCGCTCTTCCTCCAGACTCTGGGTCCTTGATTTCCAAAGGAAATGCAGAA